TTCTCTAGGCGTTTTTTCTTTTTCGTAGTGTGTTCGTTCGTGAGTGTGAAAATGTTATTTTTAAAAGCATGATGGCAAAAAATCGGAGAGGGATGACTCATGTAGCCTTAGAGGAAATACTGGATGTTATCTCTGAAACACAAATGTTTCTTCTAGCGGATCTTTCTCGGTAAGAGAACAGACAGTGTTTCTGTTGCCATGGTATTGCAATTAATATTTCATTAATGGCATACGGCTTGGATGATATTTTTGTCAAGGGCTGTATTGAATTCTGACATAAATATCTATATTATTAATATTAATGAGATATAGTTATATTTAGCCCATGTTTTAAAATCATCTTTCTAAACATACAAATAAAATAGATCTTGACAATTAATTTATTCTTTATTAGGTTACTAAGTGGTAATGAAATACCAACACGCGTCTATGTTGCCAAGAGAGAATTAAGCATTTTGTCAAGCTTTGCTGTCTTGTTTTTGCTTTCCTAGATTTTTCAAATGCAAGGTTGTACAGCGTGAAGGCTACCTTTCGTGTCCTAAGAAAGCTTTCAGATATTTTAAAAAAAACCACAACAAAAACCCAAAAATTGATGGTGCTGAAAATTGCCCATTTTTTCCTTGGGATCAGCGTAGGTGTTCAGGTTTTTTAGTTTATTTTGTTTTTAATGAAATGACAGAAAGTATAGTCATATTTTCTTCTTCTTGTTGCTGTTCTTAAAAATGACCTATGAAAGAAGACGAATTGTTAGGCTGTGGTCTTTACATTACTATTACTATTAGACTTTAAGAATATTTCTAAGACTGTTATGCAGTAAGAGAATTGGGATTATTGAAAGTTTGACCAGTGTGAATGAAATTAATGGACAAGACTTAGATCACACAATAGAAATTTTAATTTTTGTGCTTGGGGGTTGATAAAACTAACGCAAGAAAAATGTGTTAGATCTAAGGAGCCTCTAATCTCTACAGTTCTTAAAAGAAAGACAAAGAAAAGAAGGTAGAAGTCTAATAATTAGGAGCATTTCAGGGAGATAAAAGGAATTGAGTTTCTGGGAAGGAAGAGAAGAGGGGATTACGCTTTTTATTTAAATTGATGTGTGAAGTTTGGGTATGCAGAATATTTGGCATAACTACTTTGAAGAGCGGATTTGAAAGTAAAAAAAACCCCTACAGGTATTTAGTCTATTTGCTTTCTAATTACTCTGATATAGCTGAATTTCCTGTTGGTAAGCAGGATTTTATGAAGTGATGTGCAGGTATTTGGAAACTGGTTAGTCATGCATCTGAAGCTATTTTTTTTAATATACTTTAAAGATTTTTATACATTAAAGATTCATACATTAAAGATTCATAAGACAGGATGTTCTTCCATGTCTTTGTTTACTAGTGTTGAGATTCAACCTCGAAAGAATGGAGACTATTGTAAGACAATTTTAAATTGTAGCTAAAAATGCCGCCTTAAACCAGAAAAGTGTTACTAAGAATCAGGTATGTTTTGAGTAAGGTCTGTCCTATGCAATGGAAATCTGGAGACTCCTGCAGCCTTGTGAATATTCGATTTTAAAAGTGGGATTTTTTTTATCTAAGGAAACATACGGCCCATTGAACAATCCAGATTTCTAGAGGACTAAAGCAATTCTCATGTTAATTAAAATCAGATTATTCTAGTTGCTTGAAGTTTATCAGGTATTTCACATAATAAAGTGTTTCTGGAATAGATGTAATCAGGAATAATTTTCCTAGTTCTGGTCATGGAGCAGTTTGCAGGATTTTTTTCATACCTGTTGAGTTCATGATGTAACACATCCGACAATACCTACAGGTATTTACGGTTAGTATCTCTTAGTCATACATGGGACCTTTTCTTGATAATTATTTGTAGAATTAGTCCAGTACTAAATATTGCATTGCAGCTGGATGAAGGGTTGCCAGGAAGTTCTTTATTCCGCTGAAGGATTTTGTTAATCAAAGGTGGGGTTCTTTCCCTTAAATTTTTATATTGGACAAGCGCATTTTGGTGTCTTTTCAGCTGGAGCTTTCCTTGATGAACTGTTCAGTGTATTAAAACCCTCGTGTTGTGTGTGCGGGGCAGCCTCTGCTTTCTGCGCTCGAAGGCCGATGACGGATGGAAAAAGGTCAGAAGACCTGGCAGAGAAAAAGTGCTATAATTTGAGTTCGTTAGGGGAAAGGTGTAGTTTGCATATGGCCAGTTGCTAGAGCAGTCCCCTGAATTGCCAAGCAGTTTGAGATACTGAAAAAAACCCCCAAATTTGATAGTGAAGTCCAGTGGAGATTTAGACTTTAGGTAATGAAATAAATGCGTTCTTTTATTTTGAATTTAGATACACCTTTTAAACTTAGTGCGTTGTAAAAGGCTGTTGCAGGCGAGTATCTCCTTCCCGCAGGAAAACCAGGGCGCTGTGTCGGGGAGGAATATATTTACTGTTCAGAGGCTCTTTGGTGGGTTGTTTATTCAGGAGACAAATTGTCAAAGCACCTCGCTAGACTTAATCAGGGCACCCCAGTTAGAATTGAAGGGTTATTATGACTTGTGCTGTTCATTGAGGATAAAGCCCATGAATTTACTCCTAAGTATGATGAGATGATACGGCAATGTAGAGACTTGCAGAGAAGGTGTGTAAATGTGGTGTTTGGGTATTTGTTTAGTCATTGGCTTTATTTGATTACATAGAGAATGTGTATGTTTTGCTTTTAGTGGTGCATGTCAGCTTTGCACTGATACCTCTTTCTAAAGATTAATGGGTGGATTTGTTCACCTCTTCAGCACGCTGTCACAATTACAGTGTCAGTCCTCGTTCCTTGTTGTTGCACCATGTGGAATCCCCTCGCTGATGGCACCCACTCTGGGTCAGTCAGTGGCTGCTGCTCCTTTAGAAAGAGACCTACGTGTGGCCTTCCTTAAAAAGGTATTGGAACCTGTACATCCCTAAGAGAGTGAATGGAAGTATCATTGACGGGAGCGGAAGACGTCTCTTCTTTGAAATTAGCTGGAGTCTGTCAGAATGTAAGATTTTATTTAGGCATCCTGGCCCTTAAAAAAAAAGCCACTATGTCTTCAGCCTGCAGAGAAATTCTTCACCGTAGTGTAAAATACAGTTTCGGTTGTAAGGGACCTGCAAGTCATCTAGTCCAGCTGCCTGAGCACTTCAGGGCTCACCAGAAGTTCACGTGTGTTATTAAAGGCACTGTTTAAATGCCTCTCAAACACTGACTCGGAGCACCCACCACTTCTCTAGGAAGCCCGTAGCTGTTGTGGCAAGACCGAGGTTATCTGCCAGTTACAGATATCTATGCGTGTGAAAGTGTTTGCACAGGATTATCTCGTGCTCTGCAGATAAAACAGTAAAAACTGTTTTCCTGGGACCCTGATAACCTGACAAGGTTTGTTCTGTTGAGAGGAGACAGCAGCAGATTAAGGGCAGGTGTCCTGCTCTGTGGTAAACCGGAGCGCTGTGCCCCCCCTGAGCTGTTAACGCTCCCACGATGGTTGTTCCTTGCTGACTCGTCGAGCGGGGGACAAAACATGACTTGAATTTGGAAGCGTGTTCATGAGAGTCTGTGTTTCCTTTGGTGCTCTTCATGTGAGGGCAGCGCCTGGAGGGGTGTCGGTTGTGAAGTAGCCAGAGCTGGTACGTGTGCTTTGAGATGTTGAGCAGGCAGAGACAGGAGAGAGCAGAGGAAAAAGTAACCAGGAATGCTTTGGGACATCGAAGGTAAGTGGCAACATCTTCAAGGAAATGAGGTGCAAGAGAATTTCTGAGGGTATATTTTTGTGGCTGAACTTAGCACATCAATAAGGTTCTGAGCTGCTGAATGCTAAATGAATATTGCGTGTTCTTTTTAGTCAAATGTACATGTGCTCTGGGTGGCTTGGGAATTTGCCTTTTTTTTTTTTTTTAAGTAACACTGTGTGGCAGATTGAAACCAGAGAGATGTGCAGAAGAATCGAGAGCAAAACATTCATAAAAACACTTCTGGCGTGGCCTATATGTCATTAAGTCGATAACGCGTTTATGGACCTGATGGTGATGAGAGGAAGCTCTGAGAAAGGGAAAATTAGCTAGAGGAGGAATTGAGGGTGACAATGTGGTCTGGTCACTGCAAGGAGCAGTTCAAAGGGGAGCAGTTACCAAGGCAAAGGTTTGTGTAACTCTTTCTCTCGGTAGTGGCAGGAGGGTGCAACAAGGGCCAGCGGCCCTGAAAGAGTTAGCAAGCGATGGAAATGCTGTATTTTTTCCTACTCAGAATCTGGTTTTAATCAAACATATTTGACCCTACTTGCTTGTGTTACTGGTACATGAGTGAAAAAGGACCTTCAGTGGATCTCGGGTACAGTTGTGTGAAATCGGAGCAATTGGTGGGTGTTTCGAGAGATAAGGAATGGCACTAACAACCTAAAAACCCCAATATTTAGACACAAAGTTTGCATTGTAAGGGAGATTTGGGTTTTTGGACAGAAGATCTTACCTTTTCTGATAGAATAACCGGTACAGTAGCTGGTAGAGTAGCTGGTACAGCAGCTGGTACAGTAGCTGGTAGAGTAACTGGTAGAATATTGAGAGTTGGTTGAGATTTTCAGCCACCAGAACTCTCAAAAATTAACATCCTAGATGAAAGGCACAGCAAAAATGTCAGTTTAAACATAAGGAAACCAGAAAAACAAAACTAAGCTACTGGTGGTGGGACATAGATGCTGATGAACGAAACCTTGTATTGGGAAAAGTAATTCAGCCCATAAGGGAAAGGGTTTTTTTTGAAAAATAAGGAAAGAAAAAAAGATTTCTTGTTCACATGAGCAGCCAAGGAAGACTGGGAATGCAAAAATACTGTTAATATGGAGAATAGTGATAAAAAGTAAAAAGCGTGGCAGGTGTACGCAGGTCAGTTATAAAGTACATTAAATTCTAGTGGAAATGAGTAAATTGTATTTCAGAAGCTCTCAATAGAAACCTCCGATTCTTAGGAATAGTCAGGATTTTGTATTTGTGTACAGCAGTAACGAAATTCAAGAACCGAAATATGTTGGTTTTTTTTTTTTTTTAAGGACCTGTTTGAACACTTTTAAAATCACTGAGACTTGGTAACTTGGAGGAAAAATTGTCAAGTCCTTTAGAGTTGTTCCACTTGCAAATGTGTCTTGGAACACTGGAGAGGATTCGCAATTTTCAAGGGAAAAAAAAGATGCCAAAATGTTTAAGTTGCTTATTAAGTAGTTTTAGGCTGAGTCTGTTCTAAGCTGTAAAATACTTTGCTCAGAATTACAAAAAATGGTGTATGATGCTGGGTTGCAGTGTTTTAACTTTAGGATTTTATTCCATAATCATAACTTTAAGTCATACATTAATTTTTATGCTTTTTTCACTTACTTCACTGATTTTATTTGTGAAACGTGTCCTGGGATATATTTGTAATTGGAAACTTTATTTCACAGACAGGCCTCATAACCCTATGGTGAATGCTGGAGCAATTGTGATCACATCTTTAATCAAGGTAAAAAGTTCTTTTTTTAGTTTCTCTCAGAATATTTTAACAGAATGTAGAAAAAAAATAACAACAAAGAAAATCTGATGGAGATTATCGAACTGTTTTATGTTCCTGAGGGCAGATTCCTCACTGGCAGGCAGACAAGCTCTGATGGTTTGGAAATAGAAACACTTCCGAACCAAAGCAGGATTAGCCTAGCAGTTTTTAAAAAGTACAGATTCTTTTTCCTTCGTGTTTTGAGGGTCTTTTGCCTTCTTTAATGGCACAACATTTGATATTCTCTTGGGAGAGTTGCCTCATACTTTTTAAATGCCAAGAGTATGTCCTTAGGAATATACTTGGGAGCGCTCAGGAATAGTTTTGGAATGTCTGATGCTCTTATGTAGCATCAGATGAATATTTCTTGCTCTGCAGAAGAAACAATAATTACAATAATTAGTGCCGGAGCAATGCAGCTGTATTTGCTCGTCAGTCTTCACACTGAATTTGTCCGCTATTAACAGATCGTACGACTAAATTATGTTTAATTTCTGTGTTGCGTAGTTTCTGTTGGGACCTTAAATGTGCTTTCTGAAATGAGTGGGTTTGGAGACAGTTGCCTGTATTTTGCTGAGTAAACCATAGCTGAGTAACAACACGATCTCGCGACTTTTGGAAATTTTGGAGTTTTATTTTTCTTTATAATAGCTGTATGTATCTCTTGAAATTGTAAATGGCATAAATTCTATGTAATGCTAATGTTTGCCAGATGGTTTACTTGTATTTTCTGCCCTTTTTTGGTAGCCGCTGGTACAGATAACTATTTTTAATTTATTTTTTTTCTAAGGATGCCTGCTTGAAATTGTTGGTAACATGTCAGTTCCCTGGAGATTTGAAGTAGAAAACTTAATACTGTTACTTTGGAGGTCTAAAAATCTTGTTTCAGCCTTTGTATCAGTTATGCTTCAAAGTCCATTAGCTACAGTGTGTTTCCTACTCCTATTCCCAAATTGTTGATTTTAAAATTACTTAGATCATGATTTTCTGTTATTTTATATTTAAAGAAGGTGTAAGAACTCCTGCTTAAAGACATTTATCTTTAATAGCTGTAGGTGAAAGAAAATGGCCTTAAGTATGACAGGTAAATTTATTCACATTTAATATTTTTTAAAGGTTGACTGAGCATTGAAATTCACTTGGACAACAGTGAATTTTAACATCTGACTTAGCACATTTGTCTGAAATGTCCAAATGTTAGTCCTCCTACAACATACCCTAATGATCAGAAGGCGAAACACAAGCATGTGCCTCTTGCAGCAGGCACATAGTTCGTGAGATATGGTGTAACTTTGGAGTAGATAATGTGGATTGTTTACTGCATGCACTTGTGATATTTGTTAGAAGGTTGGGGGATTGGTTTTGCTGGGTGCTTTTTCTTTTATTACATTTTTTTAATTTTCTGTTGCTCTAGTGTTCTTATGGAGAGTCTTGCATCTCACTAACATTTTGCATGTGGTGACTGCACGTGTAGTGGACGCGTATCTTGCTTATCATGCTCCATTATTTGTTTCCAGGATGATTAAAACATAGATTATTTTATGTACTGCTTCCGCCCAGGTACCATTTATCATTTGAATAACTAAGCTAAACATATTCTGAAGAAAATGACGTAGTGGGTCATAGGTGCGAAGTTACTTAATAGTTGTATTTTTTGTGAAATAACCTCTGTAACAATCTGCAGCTGAACAACCTTCCCTACTAATTGTTCAATGGTTTAAGTAATTCACACTTGTATTTAATCTAAACTTTTTTTTTTCCCTGGAAAAGATGACTTCATTAACGTGTGTTTTCACCCCCAGCTCCTCTGCTTTCATTTTATTTATTTGAGGTGTTACTTGCATAGCTTGAAGACTGTGTATGGCTCCTAGAAAAATTCAGGCGTTAATAGACAGGGTCAAATTCACCGTGTATGACAGGTATATCAAAGCAAACGTGTTGATAGCCCTGGAGAGATTGCCTTTAGAGTCTGACACAAATTCTGATGGCTTGTGGGCAAGAGATGATGCTTGGAGTAATCTTTTTTGGTCAGAATATGCGATAAGTTTAACATTTTAGGGGGGGAAGGGGTTCTTAGCATCGCATACCCGGTTCTGACTGCCTTAAGAATTTGGTTACGGGGCATAGCAGTAAATTGTAATGCTATGTTTAGTCCTTGCTCTTCCTAATAATAAATAATAAAGTGTGTGTGCATGTGAAATTGTATGTTTGGCTTCATTAGGCATGACTACATCATCCTCTTATCAGCTTAAGTGATTCTCTCGCATCACGTGCTTGGGATGACCATGTGCTTACGTTTTGGTGCCGTAACTTACTGCTTCTTTTTTTTTTTTCGTTTTGACTGTACTTGCATTACACTCGACAGACTCTTCCTGCAGTTTAAAGCATGTACGTACAATTAAAACCCGCTTCAGCTAAAGGACATCCTGTGGGCCAGTTTGAGTGAAACAAAATTTTCAGAAAAAACCCCCTAAGGACCATTTCCCTCGTTGGTAACCGTACAGCCGTTTGCCTTTGTTGCTAGTTATTATAGATGACGTAGTTCTACCAATTTTCAACTGGTTGCTATCAAAAGGAAATGGTGGCAATTACAGGAGCTCGTGGAAAAGTGCTGTTGCATAAAATGGTAAATTCTTCGCCGTCTCCGAGGAAATGCAGGTGCCTGAAAGATGATTCAGCCCCTGTAGGTTCAGTGCTCCGTAAGCACGTGGCTTTCTTTCACGGCGACTGGGAAAAGCCTTTATTGCCTGCGGCATGGAGGGGTTTTCTCGCTTTGATCTGTTTGTGGGTTTTGTTTTTTTTTCCTTTCTCAAAACTCTTTAAACTAAATTCTCAAAGCATGTCAACATCAGGGCTATCAGTGGTTGTGGCAATTGCCCGCCTCCGCATATCTTTACCGAATGGGGAGGGCAGCGCGTCAGAGGTGCAGGTGAGGTGAAGAGGAAGGTTCCAGAGGGAAATACGAAGGAGAAAGCACATGGCTGTGGAAGGAGTCACCAGAGGACAAGGGATTCATTTAAAGTCATTTTGGTTGTACGCCTCGAGATTCCATCTGTAGATAAAAGCTGTCCTGAGATAAGAGTAAAGGTTTGGGCAAATAACAGTGTCTAAGAATCCACTAAGATTCTCCATATTCTGTATTTTCCATAGAAATCATTTAAGATTGATACGGAGAATCTTACGCAGACAGTGAAGACGGAGTTGATTGCTCAGTGCAGGGAGTTCTGTGGTGATGAATTAACGTGGGAAGCATTTAGACTATGCATAGCAATAGTCACAGTCCTCACAGAAAAATTCGGTGTGCAAGAAAAGGAGAAGGCTGATTTACTCACCCTGAAAAACCAACCAACCAACCAACCACAGCTTGAATTGTATGAAGTTGTACAGCACATTAAGAGGTGTATCTGGTACACTTAAGAGCTTTCAGATTAGGCTGATAAGTCGTAAAATAAATGAGGCAGAGTGGTGGAAAAACCTGTCCAGCCGGGCCAAGAGTCTGCTTGCTGTCAGGATGTAGTTCTTAGGAAATGTGTCTGGTTACAGTATAATACTTGAGGGGTGGGAAAATGCATAGTTTATCAGGGTAATTTGTCAGCAGAGTTACAAGGAGTAGTACAGACTGAGTGTAAGTGCTTTATGCTCCCCGCTCCAGTTATCCCTCCTCATGGGCTGATGTGTAAATGTGCATCCATGCCACCGTCCAGCACGTGTCGGCGTTGTGATCTTCTCTGCTAGGTACTTGCCTTTATTTGGGTGAAGCTTCCTCTCTTCCCGAGTTCTTCATTTTCTCCCGGAGAACGTCCGTTCACGTTATTCCACGCTTGCTTTTTAATAATGTCCTCGATGTAACTTGGCATAGAGTATGTAGTTGTGAGATTTGCAGTTGCGTGGGCACGCACGCAAGGATTTAATACCCCAAGGGCACAAAAATAATTCTGACGTGTATTTGAAACTATGATAGTGCTGGTCTTAGTGGGTCGAATACTGGCCGTGACAGTGTGCTCTCAAATATTTGAGAGCTGAAAATGGCACGCTAAGAAGTCAAGGCACCAGTCCTCACAGAACAGGCCCAGATTAAGAAATAAAATTTAAAAAAAATCTAAGTACAGAAAACTAAAGACATTAGAAGTTAATCTAAAATGTGCAATTAGAATTATTTTTTTCTGCATGTTTGCGTCACAATATACTGTTAGGTTATACATCTGGCTTAAAAAATTCCAGAAATTAATTTTTAAATAGTTTTCTGTTGCATAGAAGATTATAAACTTCTCCTGATCCAGATGTTTTTATTAGCTTGGCTTAGATTTGAAATTGAAAAATTATTTTCACACGACACACATGGTAGGAGCTCATGTAGTTTAATCTTAGAAACCAAATGTTTATCAATGAAAAGTGGCTAATATTAACTACTTTTGTAATAAATATTGCCTGATTTTGTTGTTGCAAGCTCTGGTAAGTATCCATGGGTCTCTTCTTTCCTATGTACTTGTAGGCATGCAACGTATGCAGCTGCTTATATTTTTGTAGTAGAAATACAAATAATAGAACTACATGGTTTTGGTTGGGTTTTTTTGTTTGTTTTTTTTTTTAAAAGGGAAGATCACTAAAACCTGACACAGTCAAAAAATTCAAATTGACGATCGACAGCCACGGTGTCCGTTGTGGTTCTAAGCTTTTACCCAATCGCCTTGAGCACTGAGCTGTCTTCTGCAAGTTTGAATTTTCTGCCTACCTGAAAAAAAAAGCCCTGAACATTTTTAATTTCCTTTTGTGTTCATGTAGAAGTGCTCTCTCATATGTATATACACACGGGCATGTACACGATAAGTGTGTATATGAACATGTATTCCAGTAAATGTCCTGTTTGTGGAGTCAGTGCATGGAGCAGCAGCTTTGATGTTCTAGACAGATAAATTGCGTCGGAACTTAAAACTCCTGCAGAAGGTCGCAGTGCCCCCAACCTTTTTTCTTTGTGATCCAGCTGAAGACAAGGGGCGTTTGTGCGAGCACAGAAGCTTTCCTGTCTCTTATATTTGTTTCACCTGTCAGGGGAAAAGTTGCTCGGCGTTCGGAATGCTGGGATTTCAGATTTGCAACCGAATTTTCACCCCTGGGTGTGTGTCGCCTCTGTGTCTCTGCAGCTTTTCCGGAGGAGCTGCTGAAAGCGGGGAGCTGATCTCTTGGGTTTTTTAGTTGGCGCGCGGACAGAAGCCAAGTTTTCCGGTTTAGTTGCGTGTTACGTTAATTCCTTACCGAGGTCTCGATTATGTGACTACTTAGGAAAATATTTGAGGTGTAATTTCGGTAACAAACGCTTTTCTGTTCGATATAAAGTACCTCTGCCAGCGTGTGGAACATCGAGGACTAAAACAGCATCGTCTGCCTTAGCGTACAGAAGATTCTTTCCAAAATACGAGATGAGCCGTAAATTTTAAAAAGAAACCTTGAAAAAGTTTGTGTCAAGTCTTTTGCCCACCAGTGTGATCTGCTGCTAGAAAAGCCAGGGTTTTGTTGCAGGGCTAGGAATACTTTTTTCAGCTGGGAAAAACGTGAAGTGTTATGTATTTATCTTTTTGCAGAAAGCATGATCCCTTTCTCCCTCTTTCTTTTTTTTAACAAAAGAACTTGTTTCAATTTATTATACATGTCTAACCATACAGTGATCAATGCAGCATCCCATAACTAATGCCGACCCACTTTCCCAGAAAAAAGATGTTCATTGTGCATTTGCAAGGTTGAAAAAGGTTTTTGTGGTTTAAATGTTGTTACATATTTTACAGCATTAGGATCTATGGAATATTTTGACAACTGCAACAGTTCAATGAAGTTGGTAATTTCTTCTTTTAATTATTTTTCATTGAACAGATTTGGAGTTAAATTTTTAAGACTTGTGTTCTGGTATATTATACGGGAACATTTTGATGCAATGTGTCATGGTTTTTTTAATATTATTATTATTTTTTTTTTATCTTACTGCAAATTAGCTAGAGATGATTGCCTTTAAGAGTAAGGTTATTAGCCTTTGAGCAGAAGGTGACCACTGGTGCATAATTTTGACCCAACAACGTGCTGTTCCTTTCGTATGTGTATGACTGCGCATCCTCTCGTAGCTGAGCTGGTGCATGGGCTTCCAAGATTACCTGCAAGACCCTAATCCACGTGCCGGGTGGGAAATGCGGCTGGCTTTGTGCATTTCCTTAAGTAAAACACCAGTCAATACAAAAGCTTCAGTTTTTTCCCCCCTCCCTTCCCCGGTCCCGTACTAAACACGGCGCAAGCAGCGTCTTGAATCGGTCAAGGTACGTTAAAACAGGAGTTTTGTTATCTAAAAATCAAGTCTCTTTAATATGAGAAGAATTGATAAAAGCATCTGATCCGAATGTGCTGTTTCCGCTTGCATATGGGGTGCCGCTCTTTCTAAAATTTCTCCAAGAGTTTTACTTGGCCACTTGAAAAAATTCAAAACGCCCCCAGCAGATCGTTTTACCTCCTTGCCCCTCTTTCAATATCTCGCTGTAGGAATTTGCGAAAGGTCGCCCGGCAGAGACCTGTGAAGAGTTAATTCGTCATTAACTGGCAGCTGCTAAATTTGAGAATGTCCTGAAATGCGGGGAGGAAAAAAAAAACCCAAAACAAGCCCAAAAATAACACCCCTTGTCTTTCCCCTCAAAAAACCAAACCCACCAACCCTGAGAGTTAAGTTTCGCTAGCATCCTTATTAAGTTGGATTTAGGTTTGTCTTTACGTTTTTAGCACAATGCTGTACTCTTGTGATGTGAAATTCTATTTTTTCTTTCTTAACTTTAATTTTTAGTAGGTAGGACGTTAATCAGATATTAACCAAATCAGGTATTTCTGACTAATTGCAATTATTTGCCTAGCGAGGGGTAGCACTTTAAGTCTTCAATCTAAATTCTTAATCTGGGCACTAGCCGTGGAAATACTTTTTAACTGCAATAGCCTCAACCTTCCTATGCTCAGCTCTGTTGGTAATATAAGAATAGCTTTGGGTTACTAATCTCTAAAAAGTTAGTGTTTTCATTATAATTATCCTGATTGTAGTTCCTTTTGTTTGGTTTTTTTTTTTCCTTTAACTACTACTACTACTTTTACTTATGCTAAACACGTAAAGTTGAATAGAGAGCACTTAAAATACAGCATACCTTTGGCAGTTTAAATTCATGTCCAACATGCAGGTGTTTGATAAGGCTCTTAGAGGATTATTTAATTTAAATGATAATTAAAGATTTACTTATCTAACACTTTAATGTTTTCATTAATATACGAGATGATTGTAGTACCTTACTCTTAAGTAGCCTCATACCGTAGTTGTATGCGTTAAAAATTCTAATACTGTTAAGTGAACTAACTTTTCTTCCGTTAACAATTTTTGTAAATTATTTTTTCTTTTCTTGCAGCAAGGAGCAAATAACGCAGAAAAATTCGACTACGTAAGTTAACATTGTAACATTCCTTTTTTAATTAAAGCCCGCGGTAGGAGTCTCGAGGGGATTTCAAGCGCTTTGCCTTTGGATGGGTTAACTGGGTGTTTGGATGTGGAGCGGTTGGGATTGCGTTTGTAAAATCATGGTAGGCGCTTTAGGCTGGGTTGCAAGGTCATCAGTTAGAACTTTTTCTGAACTCTGACCGCGTTAGCATGCTTCCCCCCTCGCCCCTCTGTCTCTTTGCAGGTGATGCAATTCATGAATAAAATGGCTGGCAACGAGTACGTCGGGTTCAGTAACGCTACGTAAGTGTTTTTCCTTCTGTCCCATTCCTAGAATGGCTGTTCAGAAGTACCATACCCTTCACGTGCGGTTTTATTGAGTTACTTTCAGGTGTTTTTTGAAAGTTTAACGTGCTGTTCTTGTCTTCTGTTTGAAATCTGATTTCAAGGTTCCAATCCGAAAGAGAGAGCGGAGATCGAAACTTTGCAATCGGCTATTACTTGAAAGAAAAAAAGGTTGATCTCTTTTTAGTTTCTGGTGTTTTGAAGGGTGTGTGGTGGGCTTGTGTCACAGTCTGTGAAGACTGTAATTTATTTTTGTATGTGTGTGCACAGTATGACATGAACTATTCCAGTACTCTACGTGTCTGCATGCTGCTACTCGAAATGTGGTCTTTTAGAAAGCAGCATGCTTACGTCATTCTAATAGAACAGCTGTAATTTTTTTTTTCTGTCGTAGCTGTGATTACTTATTTGACATAAAATGCGTTATCTCTGCTGTGCTGACGACTCCAGATGCATTTTGCAGTTTGCTGATTTAAAGCTATCCAAAGCTTTTCAGTAAACACCTAGCTTGTTGCCCTCACTGCACTTTTAAATCTGACGCGATATGATATTCCTCCTTGTTATGTTAAAATAAACACTGCATTTAAAATTTGCTTAATGCTTTAATAGGCTGACAAGAATAGACCCAGCTTAGTGTTTCTGCGAGAGTGACATTTTAAAAAAATAATCCTGACTTTACCTAAAGACTCCCTTTGTTTTTCTTCCTCAGTGCTTTCCTGAAGGCACGGATATGGTTGCTATTCTAGACTTCTATTTTCAGGTAACTGACTTGAAAATTGAGACTCATTATAGACGTAGAATTACCATTATAAGCAGTAGAAGCTGATTTGTTCATAGATAGGAAGGCTTTAATGGCTTATAGTTAAACCTGCCAGCTTCTGTTAAACGCTGGAAATGAAGGGTGTGTGTTTGATGTGTCCAGGGTTGGGTTTGTTCGGGTGGTGTGCTTGGTGCCACCGCAACCTAGTGAGAGCCTTTCAAACCCTGCTAGCCGGGAGCTTAAAACGCCTTGTGTTGCTTCCGTGAGTCTGGCAAAATGGTTCTGCTGCTTTGGGCTGCCGCCCTTTATCGTGCTGTGAAGTAATTTACACTCTGCCTGTAAAGAAAACAGCATGTGCGTACTCTCTTGTAAGCTCGAAGGTTATAAATGAAATCATGCAAGGACATCCTCCTCTTTGTTTAATTCAATGCTTATGAGTAAAACAAGGAATCTGGTCACGTATGTTCTCCCCTCCCCCCTTTTTTTTTTTTTTTTTTTTTTTTTTTTTTCCTCCCTTTTTCCTTTTCTCCAATTTTTTTTCTATTTATCCCTCCTTTTTCACTTTCAGCAAGTTGATTTGCAACTGTCCCCAAAGGAGAACTTGGCGAGCGGGAGGTATTTCCTCAGTCAGGGTTTCCAGCTCGGCGAGCTCTGCTGTGGATAGTTCTCGAGAGGCAGTTCGAGTTGTGTTACTGATTCCCTGCGTCTGGGAGAGCTTAAAGAGAATTCCAGAGTTTAGTTCTCCAAAATGAGTCTGTTCTTAATTCGTGAGGCTTGCTTTTACGAACAATTTTTTTTTATATGAAGGTTTTATGTGATTTTTGGTTTGGGTTGGGATGCACCTGCTCTAACCTTTTAGATTGAGTGAGTGTTTATGAAGCGAGGAATGTGTGTTTAGCCTTAGGTGACCTCTCCTGGCATTGGAAACTAGGTACAAGCTGATAGTCCACTCCGAACTTCTGTTACCACAAAACAAAATCGATAATTTGTTTGAATTTGCTGTTCAGACATGCTTTTTAAATGCTTTCTATGCCACTGCCTAAAGGGCTGATACCCTCCTGAGTGCAAAGCTATTCCTAAGTTAAGAAACACCAAAACTAACTTCTCTGATGTATTTGAATTGGCGTTATGACCTCCTAATTTCACGACTGCGTGTCATTCTTCTTTTTTTTTTTCTTTTTCCTTTGCAAACCCCTCTTTGCGCTGCGCACTCAGCAAAAGGGCAGCTCACGCACAAGTGGCAGTTTGGTTTTCTTTCCTTCTCACTCTACAGCGCTTGTTTTCCAGCTCAGATTCTACTTAAAAGGCTAGTTATTCCTTTTCTTTTGAGTTTTCTGTAATGCTCCTCCCTCCCTTGTATAGTTGGGAACTTTCTGAGCAGGAATAAACATATTTTCCTATTATCTCTGTGAAGTGAGGATGGGTTAATCTCACTTTAGAGAACTGAGATACAGAATGCAGGTGCTTAAACTGAGAACCTAGAAACACGTTTTGGGGGTTTTTTTTGTTGCCTTTTTTTTTTTTTTCTCAAAGTAGGTGATATTGTGTAATACTTCATATGTTTAAAACACAGTTGCCATTTTAGATGCGTCTCTGACAATCTCTTGATTTGCAACTCCAGTTGATTGGACTAGGATGTATTGAGTTTGGCACCCGGAAAATAAGAATTCCAGGTAGTAACTACTCATGCAAACGTGGCTTAGGTAACTTCATGCAGTACCATGTAATGACTGTTTGGCAAAAGCAAGAATATGAGCGCTAGTTTGTTTTTTTACTTTTCAGAGTAGCATTTCAGCTTCAGGTTGAAACCAGCTTATCTTTTGGTTTCTGCAGAAATGAGGCAGCATCAGGTGATGGCATCATATCACATTTCCTGATGTGTCACCAAAGTATGTATAGTCTGTACCGAAGCAGGGATCCTGGGAGAAACTATCATGTGGTTGTGAATTTAATATGTCGTAAAATATATACGAGAGAAAGGTGAAATAAGGCTGCACCAGCAGGAAGTGCTGGCATTAAGACTTGCATGTGCTAGAGTTTGCAGCTCTGAAACGTGCTTTTAATAATGTGTGGGGTCTTTTAAGGCTTAAAGAAAGAAAGAAAAAAAATACAACCCCACAAAACAAACTCTAATGGAAAAAAACCCCAACCCCCCAGTCGTTCTGTGGCTTTGCCGTTTAAGCAGATGTGAAATGCTGAGATCGATTTCCAGACCTCTTCCTCTCAAAGGAACATAAGGGGGGTGGGGGGAGGCATCGAGCAGAGACACTAACCCATGAAAAATTCCGTCCCAAACTATTAACCGGGCTTACAAACTCTATCGCTGGGATCATTGTAGTAGGAAGATTCAGACCATGTTAATTTGATGCTACCGGCGTCACCTGTAACGGCCGCTGTGCTGCAGGTTATTTTATGAGAGGTTATTTCTGTAGAGACGTGCTGTTGATCCTGCTGTATTTGGCCTTCCCTTGCCAGAAGTGTCGGTTCTTAGAATCTCTTTTTCTTTCTCACAAGCTTTGCTCGATCGAAGTGACCTGCGAGTCGGCGAGCGTGATGGCAGCGACTCTGGCCAACGGCGGCTTTTGCCCAATCACCGGTGAGAGAGTGCTGAGTCCCGAAGCTGTCCGGAATACCTTGAGTTTAATGCATTCCTGTGGCATGTATGACTTCTCAGGGCAGTTTGCCTTCCACGTAAGTACTTTTCGGAGACAAAGCTGACCAGAAGGATCAATCTGCGCCATTTTCCGCATTCCAGGGCCCGCTCGCGTGCTCCTGGGGGAGAGGAGAGGGTGTTGGGTGGCTTGATTAGGAACTGGGAAAATCTCACCTCGAATTCGTGACACCACCGGTACAACATGCCTCCCAGCCCTTCCTCTTCGCTTTTGGGAGTCCTTTTTGTGCTGCAACACAAATCCTGTCCTGCAGAAAAGGCTGTTGGTGAGAGAAAGGTCAGGAATTGTCCTGATGCGTTGTAAAAGGGGCTGTTGTACGCAGCATACGTACCATGCCTGTTTTTCCGGCGGTCTGTTCCATGTGTAAGTATTTGAGGGCGTGCTGCATCTTACTTGAGTTTTCGACGCTTCGTCTTGAGCGTTTTTAGTTTTTCCTTATTGCCTACACGTAGAATTCAGTGTGATGCTTTGTGTGGCCTAAAGGTTACATTGCTTACAGAGCTACAAGGAGGCGTGACGTGTTAGATCCTACTGGAAAAAAGCAATACCTTTATCCTGATTTGTAAACGAGTAGGTCACGGTGCGATTTCAAGGGCAGGCTGGCGTTTTCTTGGGGTTTTGTTTTTTATCTTTTCCAGTCAAGATTATTTTTTGAACATCTATAGCTTTGTTGCAAACTGTTCTTGACACACTTGTGTACTCCTGCTTGGTTTTAATTGCTTTTTTATGACACATTTATCTTTTTCACTGTATTACTGACTCTCTGTGTTACTGAGAGCAAACAGCTTCCTGATCCCCTACCTCAGGTTGCCACAAACTGTGCTTCAGGCCGTTGTCTATCTAAAAAGAGAGAAGTGACAATGCTTTCTGCATTCCCCATCTACGTTTCATATGTGCTGTGGAACAATCTCCAGTAAACCCCCCCATCGTTGTGTTACAGTAGTGCAGGATGTTTGCGGAGGGTGGTAATTCCCCTAATTATTCTCTAGGTTGGTCTTCCTGCGAAATCTGGAGTTGCTGGTGGGATTCTTCTGGTCGTTCCGAACGTTATGGGCTTGATGTGCTGGTCACCTCCTTTGGACAAGATGGGCAACAGCGTTAAAGGAATCCACTTTTGTCATGTAAGCCACATTGCCTTTAGTGTTTTTTTTTTTTCTTTTTTTCCCTGAACTTGAGTTAGAATAGCTGAGATCTGAGTGAATTCAACAGCAATTCATTACTCTTCCGTATGTAGCAAGTTTCACCTGATCCGAGGGTGAAAGTCCAGGAAGAGACGTTTTCATTTTACTAATAAATAACACTTTAAGTTCATGAGCTTTAAGGAAAATAGTGGTGCCAGGAGCACTGGAATCCTTTTCCTTTGAAAAGAAACACTTCAGGAAGTAATGAAAGGGCTGCTGGTCTTTTATATGCTGCTTTTTTTTTTTCTCCCCCCCTTCTTTCCCCCTCTTAAACTGCAGTGATACTAGTTTGGATGGACTTGATTGAAATATTAGTTTAAATATGTTAAAAGTTTCATATGAAGCAGTCTTGATAATTCACCTGATCTATGATTTTATATTTAGGTGAAGGACTTAATGCATTTGTTCTCTAAGACCTAAAAACTGATAAATGATCTTGGCACACAAGTAACATGAACGTAACACTCACTTTTAAAAATAGGACAGCGTAGAAAAGTTCCGTAATTACAGCCTTTTGCCCTGTGATCCAAATTAAAATCTGTTGTGTTGCACATTTTCCTGTTTCATCCTTTTGATTGAAGTTTTCTGTACCAGACTAGCCTGGACTGTTCTTGTTCCTGAAGTGTTTCATACCCCTGGAGTATGTTAAAATAGCGGGTTTGCAAATTGCTGCTTGCTTTGCACTTCTTTAAAAAGGTGTTTAAAGGTGTTATTGTCTGCCCTATCCAAAATAATAACACAGCGTTTCTCTAAATATTTGCAGGATCTGGTTTCTTTGTGCAATTTCCACAACTACGATAATTTGAGGCACTTTGCCAAAAAACTTGATCCTCGCAGAGAAGGCGGCGACCAGCGGGTAAGTCGGAGAGACGTGTGTTTAGCGAGTAGCGCTCGTAGACGTGCCGAAGAGATACGGAAGGCTCTTCCCTAAACCCCAAACTTCTTGGTGACGTCCAAGCTTTCAGATAAACCAGTCAGTTTACATTATTGGTGGGCACTTCCCTGGGGGTAGGAGAGGATACGGTAGAATGATTTTTATTTTTTAAAGCGCTTCCGTTTGCATGGATATGGCTAGAACAGTACCCAGCTTGGTATTTGATTATTATTTTTTTTTTATGACTGGAAAAGAGAGAAATATGTGAAGAGGTGGAAAACTTGAGTCTGTTAGCATTGACTGCAAGTATGGCTTACTTTTTTATTTTATATTTTTTCCCCTACACTAATAAATAATGTATGTTGCTTAAACAACTAGCATTCCTTTGGACCAATGGACTATGAGAATCTCCAGCAAGAACTTGCTTTAAAAGAAACAGTATGGAAAAAAGTGTCACCCGAATCAAACGAGGACATCTCCAGAACCGTAGTGTATAGGATGGAAGGTCGGGGAGAGCAGAACTAAACGCATGGGTCCTAGTTTCGTTAAATTTCTTCATTTTAGAAACCCGCCGGCATCTCTAGATTTCACTTCGGTTTGATTGTTGTTCGCCTGGTGTTTCGTTTATATTTTCTCTGCGTTTTGTGTAAATTCTGTATGCTATACCAAAAAAAAAAAAAAAAAGTGTTAAAGTTCAAGGGGTTGAGAGGGTGGGGGGGGAAAGCACGCGCAAGCAACCAAACTTGTTAACTGACTTTTGTCGTGACGGAAAACACTTTTCCTTTTTGAAAAAGGGAAATCTGAATGTCTTCAAAGATATACCGCTTTGTGTATATCTATTTATTTTTTTGTTTCTCTCTGAGCATTTTCAGTAAATTGAGAGCCAAGCAAGAACTTACAGTGTGTCCTCTGATGAGGGCGATGGAAGAATTTTAATGAAAATATTAGCATCAGCAAAACCCAGCAAATTCATGAATCTGTAAACAATTGTTTATGAAGTGGAGATAGGTTCCAAGTCCTGTTATTACCATATCCTTTTTATTTTTAATATGAGCTTTCAAACTGCTTTGACCAGAAGTGGACCCTTTGGATACTCAGTGCTAGATTATGTTTGAATTTGGTTTTTATTTTTTTTAATCAGACCATTAGTAACTAATAATGGTAATATTTAAACAAGAAGAGCCCAAATGGCTGAGGAGGACTGAGAGAAGAGGGCAGGCGGGAGAAAAAAAGGCAACCCTGCCTTGTTTGCAAGTTAACTAACGCAGCAGAAAGCTTTCTCACCAAACCATTTGGTGTGTCTCGCTGGCTGCTCGTGCTGCCAGCGGGGAGTTGTGACTCAGAAATCTGCCTGACTAATAATTCTGTGCTCCACCCTGGAGAGGAATGTCAGCAATCTGGGGTTTCGAGCGGTAACCACAAGCAGGAAAATACCGAGGCGAGCAGATCAGTAGAGAGTATTCAAAGCGCTTTACAATTATTTTTCAACCGGTGGCGTGTGCGCAAGCCTCATCCAAGTGGGCAGAGCTTTCATTTATGCGCATGCAAGCAAAATTTTCAAAAGTTATAGTTAGCTGCCCCCCTTAAAAAAAAAAAAAAGATAGTGGGTTTGCACCTCTGTCGGCTTGCCGAGAAGCAGGACTCACATTCTTCTACGGGCGGCTGCATCTGTTCATCGGCGTACCGCCATGAGTTTGGAGTATCTCGAGAAGGGTGGAATGTGAAATGCTGCGTGTGATGGGCTCGAAAGGCTGGACAGAGGGCACAGCCTCACTAAATTCCCGACGCTTGTAGCCGTTAGATTCTTAACGACGCCAAAAACCTTCTCTGCCCAGTTTTCCCCGTTGTAAGTTTACAGGTAATTCAATCTGTCCCACCCCCAGTACAAACCAGGCAGAGTCCTGGTTTCTAAAACCCTCTCAGACTTGGCCAAGGGATGATCAATGGCGTTAGCTCGGCGGAGGATTTTGAGACCATGACAGTTAATTCCTTAGTAACGCCTCCACCTCTTCTCCCCACCCCCTCTCCCTTTTTCGTTGATCTAAAACTCCAAAGTGGGTTCCCCCCGCGAGTTTTTTTGCGTGAGGGGCAGACACGGGGTTTTTCCTGCCCCTTTTTTGACCCGTGTGGATGTTTGTGAATTCAGGAAGATGCATAAAGCAAAGCTGATGTTCTCCGAGAGAGCAAGCTGTTCTTAATTACTCTGTTTAGGTATTGTTAGGTTTGCATAAACGTTTGAAATAAGCTCTGGCTTAATCCTGAATAATCTTCATTTTGGAAAAGGATGGGCTTCCTGTCTTTGAAGTGCAGGATTAAAACGTTGAAGCAAAACAATCCAGAACATCGATTTTTTTATTTTTTTATTTTTTTTATTTTTTGTCAATGAATTTCAAGTCCTACTGGGACAAAGAGGTAAATCTGTGGCGCAGATGTCAGTTTGAAATGTCGGTCATGAATTGCTGAATAATGTTTCCTAAGTTTATCACTGACAGTAAGGTTAGAGTGGTCAGTGCTTGGAAACGAAGTAAAATAAGTAAAGGCAAAAACCTGAATTATAAAAACGGCTCACCCGGTTCAGGATTTGGCAGAAGACTAGGAGACACACAGACATAACAAGGGTTCAGATCCTGCAAAGCTCCCCGTCGTTACCTGAAATGCCCTCGGTCGCAAGAGGGCACATGATGTGTCTGTGCTGCTAACGAAAAGTATTTCCAGTGATGCTGTGTCACTGGTTAAATTTTACCGATTTAGTTTCAAAATGATGCGGGATTTGCTTGATCCAATTCCATACCCGTTATTTTTCCAATTTTTTTATATAT